AGCAGTTGCTAGGTCGATTAAGCGAGACCTGGCAACTCCTGATTGGCCCGCACACAGGCGGCCGCGAACAGCGCTAATTCCCCCCCACTTCAATCCTGTAGCAACCAGCACGACGCGACGGCAGAAAACACCATTGCCACGATCATCAATAAATCATCATACCACCTAAGATCTTGTTAAGCACATACTCTGGCTCACAGTACGAGCATCTGACAGAAGAAAAGTAGGTTACCTATAGCTTTGCTGTGTATTAGAATAGAAAGCAACTACAGACTAGACGTGGCTTACTCCACTCTACCTCGCACGTCTTTGACGCTGAGGCAACTAGAGCGTGGAAAGGCCTCTAGCACACTATCAGACAACCAGCGCTCTGCACGCGCCGAATCTGGCTATGCATAGACAGCACCTCAGTCATATGGTGCCTCAGGGGCGACGCACCCCCCACCTCAGAGTGGGCCTTCCTAGAGTGCTACAGTGCTATAAAGACACACAACATCTCAATTAAATGGGCCCCTAGGCACCTATGCATTAAAGGAAACAAAGCAGCAGACAGACTTGCCAACCTAGAAGCCTAGCACCTATCACCCCTAACTAGAATAGCGGCTATGCCTACACTCTTAGGCATTAAGATAATAGCCTGCAAGATGCTACAGCATACACAATAAATATAGTAGTCTAATAAGAAGACTAAGCTCTTAAAATAGTATAAGAGCTAGGATTCTAACTATGCACTACGTAGTAGACTACCTAAACTAGACCTACTAAGAGCTACTCTAGCTAGACTGCTCTTAATCTAATCTATGCACAGCAACTTTACCTAGTACCACTAAAACTACAGACATAATAACGCAACACTTACCTGCTTATGTGGGCGCAATAAGACACTACAGCATCTTGTCCTCTGCTGCAAGACCTAAGGGTCCTTTAGCTAATAGCCACTCTAAATACCTATACTACTATCTAGCTATAGTAAAGGCATAATATATACTAGTGTGCTTATTAGGGTTCTAGAGGCCTTTAAAGCCTTTACCTAACTCACTTAATACTACATCAAGGTCTGCCCCTAGTAGCTCACCCTGTGCTGCGACAGCAGCAAACAACTGTACTCTTTCCTTACTCTCCTTCTAACTCTCCCTCTCTCTTCTACTCTTACAGCATTCTACTGCCTTTAAATACACAAAAGGGATTCACCCTAATATATCTACACTACTTAGTCTCCCTAACTAGCAGGGGAGCTGTAGCTTAAAATAGTAGCAATATCTGCGCAGGCAAGAAATGCTTTCTAAGGTAGTGTGTTAGCACTGTAATCCTATAGCTTAGCACGTCGTATATGCCCTTTGGGAGGCGAGATAGTGGACTTAATCCCTATTATCTAGACGTAAAATAAATACCAACCAACTAACTAACCCTACTAACGCGCGGGTAGTGTTAGATCGCCTTAAGGTGCGGCACTATACCCCACCAGCACCCCCTCCACTAGAGACACTGTGGCAGTCAAGGACTCTAAGCAATACACACAAGTTTAGATCTTAGTTAACGTACTCCACAAGCGAGTGGCTCACACAAGCGAGTGGCTCACTTTTGCCAAGACTACACCAAGACTACAACTACTTTACAACATTACAGCACACAACAACAATATCATGTACTACACAGTATATTGCACTAATCTATAGTACTTTGCGCATCTTTCTTACACGTTGTCCTGTTGTGCCCTGCCTTGCCACACATGCTACAGTGTCTTAATAACTGAGTGCTGCTATTAGCACCTCCTCTCTTCTTTGCCTTCTTCCTATTACTACAGGCCTTAAACTCCTTTAGAGTAGTTAGCTGCACTCCCTTAGCAAAGGTTAATACCCTATCTTGCTGTAATTGCTTTCTTTTGTGTAATTTACAGTGTGTAGCAGCCTTGTTAGCTACCTAAAGGTTAGGAACCTAGTTGTGCACTAAAACTAGTGAATGCGCCATCAGATCTGCGCCTTTAGTAAGCTAATTAAGGGTGTTAACTATTAATATTAGTAAGCTATTAGCGTGTCTCTAGATCCTCTCTAAAATTAGCTTTAATTAAGACCTAAATTCTAGGGTGTTGCTTAGTGTCTTAGACTCCTACGTGCTGTTGTCTACAATAGGTAGTGTTAACGTACTCCACAAGCATGCCGGTCACCCAAGTGTACAGGTCACTTTTGCCAAGACCACACCAAACTTCACTCTACTAACAATGCCTCAACGCAGCAACATAAAAAAGCTCTCTAATGAAGCAGACATACAGCTTGCTCTCCAGGCTATCCAACAAGAGGCGACGCTCTCTCAGCGACGCGCTGCAGCAATCTACAACGTCTCTCAAAGCACGCTTAGTGACCGACTTGCTGGAGCCACCCCACGCTGCGACTACACACCTAATACTATGAATCTTACAAAGAACAAAGAGGAGGTAATTGTCCAGCACGTGTTGAGGCTAGACGAGCGAGGATACTCGCCCCGGCTTGCTGATGTAGAGGATATGGCCAATTCTCTGCTTGCTGAGCGCCACTAGCCCTACGTTGGCAAGAACTAGGCTGCCAACTTTGTAAAACGTTGGCTAGAGCTTAAAGTTAAATTCAATTGCAAGTACAACTATAAGAGAGCTCTGTGTAAGGATCCTAAGGTGATTAGGGACTAGTTCTAACTAGTAGAGAATACCAAAGCTAAGTATAGTATATAAGATAAAGACACCCACAACTTTAACAAATCTAGCTTTATAATGGGCGTTATATTAACAGGAGCTGTTGTTACAGGCTCTGAGCGTCGAGGGAGACCAAAGACAGTGTAGCAGGGTGACCGAGAGTGGACCAGCATCATCCAAGGCATCTGCGCGAAGGGCTGGTCTATCCCACCCTTCATCATCTTCTCTGGCAAGCACCACCTCTCTGCCTGGTACAAGGAGCCTAGTATACCTAACAACTAGGTTCTTAATGTCTCTAACAACAGCTAGACTAACAACAAGCTTGGAGTTAAGTGGTTGAAGCACTTTAATAAGCACACAAAGGCGCGCACTGTTAGCAGCTATCAGCTGCTTATTCTGGACGGCCACAAGAGCCACAACTCAGTCAAATTCTACCAGTACTGCGAGGAACACAAGATTATTACCCTGTGTATGCCTCCACACTCGTCGCACCTACTACAGCTACTTGACGTAGGCTGTTTTTCTCTGTTGAAGAAGGCCTATGGCCGCCAAGCTGAGCGGCTAATGCGCAGCAAGATTACGCGTATCACTAAACTTGAGTTCTTGCCGTGCTTCAAAGCAGCTTTTGACGCCTCAATCACAGAGAGTAACATCTAGGGAGGATTTAGAGGTGCTGGCCTAGTCCCACTTGACCCAGAGGCTGTGCTATTGAAGCTTGAAGTACGGCTGCGCACACCAACGCCACCTACTGTGGACAACAGTACGTGGGAGTCTAAAACACCAAGCAACACCCTGGAATTTAGGTCTTAATTGAAGCTAATTCGAGAGAGGATTTAGAGACACGCTGATAGCTCGCCAACGTCTATGGTTGACGCTCTTAATCAGCTCACTAAAGGCGCAGAGCTGATGGCGCATTCACTAGTTTTAGTGCGCAACCAGGTTGCTGACCTACAGGCAGCCAACGAGGCCGCCACACGTCGTAAATCACACAAAAGGAAGCAAGTACAGCGAGAAGGGACTCTAACCTTTGCTGAGGGAGTGCGGCTGACTACTCTAAAGGAGTTTGAGGCCTGTAGTGATGGGAAGAAGGCAAAGAAGAGGTCACGCGTTGATGGGAGCACTCAGTCTTTAAGGCGCTGTGGCACATGTGGCGAGACAGGGCACAACAGAACAACTTGTAAGAAAGATGCGTAAAGTACTATAGATTAGTACAATATACTGTGTAGCATAGTAGAATGCTGCTGTGTACTAAGGTACTGCAAAGTAGTTATAGTGTTGGTGTGGTCTTGGCAAAAGTGACCGGTACACTTGGGTGACCGGCATGCTTGTGGAGTACGTTAGCGTGCGTAGCTGTACTTCAAGCTTTAATATTACAGCCTCTAGGTTAAACAGGACTTAGCTAGCGCCTCTGAATCCTCCCTAGATGTTGCTCTTAGTAATTAAAGCATTAAAAGCAGCTTTGAAGCACAGTAAGAACTCAAGTTTAGTGATGCGAGTTATCTTGCTCTGCATCAGCTGCTCGGCTTGGCGGCCATAGGCCTTCTTTAATGGGGAGAAACAACCCACATTAAGCGGCTGTAGCAGATGGGATGAGTGTGGGGGTATACACAGAGTAATAATCTTGTGCTCCTTACAGTACTAGTGGAATTTGACTAAGTTGTGGCTCTTATGGCTGTCTAGAACAAGCAGTTAGTAGCTGCTAACAGTGCGCGCCTTTGTGTGCTTATTAAAGTGCTTTAACTACTTAACTCTAAGCTTATTGTTAGTCTAGCTGTTGTTAGAGACACTAATAACCTAGTTATTAGGTATACTAGGCTCCTTGTACTAGGCTGAGAGGTGGTGCTTGCTAGAGAGGATAATGAAGGGTGGGATAGACTAGCCCTTTGCACAGATGCCTTAGATAATGCTAGTCTACTCTTAGTTGCCCTGCTGCACTGTCTTTAGTCTCCCTTAACGCTTAGAGCCTGTGACAACAGCACTAGTAGATATAACGCCTATTATTAAGCCAGATTTATTAAAGTTGTGGGTGTCTTTATCTAGGATACTATACTTAGCTTTAGTATTCTCCACAAGCTAGAACTAGTTACTAATTACCTTAGGATCCTTACACAGCGCTCTCTTATAGTTGTACTTATAATTAAACTTAACTTTAAGCTCTAGCTAACGTTTAACAAAGTTAGCAGCCTAGTTCTTGCTAATAGGGGTCTAGTGGCGCTCAGCAAGCAGAGAATTGGCCATGCCCTCTACATTAGTGAGTTAGGGTGAGAATCCTTGCTTATCTAGCCTTAACACGTGCTGGACAATTACCTCCTCTTTAGTGCTAGTTATCTTAATTATGTTAGGCTTGCAATTGCGTTGTGGAGAGGTTCTAGCAAGTTAGTGACTAAGTGTCCTTTAAGACATGTTGTAGATGGCTGCAGCGCGTTGCTGAGAGAGTGTCGCGTCTTGATAGATAGCCTGAAGAGCAAGCTGTATTCCTGCTTCCTTTGAGGGTTTAATTGTGTTGTTACGTTGAGGCATTGTAGGTAGAGTGAAGTTTGGTGTGGTCTTGGCAAAAGTGAGCTACTCGCTTGTGTGAGCCACTCGCTTGTGGAGTACGTTAAAACTTATACATAACTCCTTTACCTGGTCACTAGTCACAGCTTAGGTTGGCTTTTCTCAGCTTATTAAAGGTGGTGAATTAATGTTGCACTAAAACGCGCTTTAAGCTGCTCGGATTACTAAGCTTGAAGAGCAATTAGCAGTTATAAGTAGGAGGAAGTCGTGCAAGCAAAAGTATATTCAGCATGGCAGCACACTTGAGTACGGCCTAGCAGTATCACGGGTAGCTACTAAGGTGTCTGTAGTAGCTCAGCCGTCAAAGAAGACTTGTGGTGCAGATACTTAAGAAAGGACCTATTTAGCCTAACAGCGCTGTAGAAACTGTGGAGGCACTAGGCACAACGCTTAAACGTGTTAGAAAGATACAGGAGAAGATTTTGAATCTAATGTAAGAACACAGTACGCTGGATTACTGTTTAATAGCGAGTAATTCAAGTTGCCGCAACATAAGTTGGGCGCGCCAAGAGCTTTTGACCAGTTCGGTGATATGACCGGCTCGGTGATAGAGTACGTTATGCAGTGGCAAACATAATTGTTGTTGTTGAGAAAATCACGGTTCTATACTGTGTGACTGCCGTGGGTGGGGTGCGCGGGAACCCTATGTGTGCGGCAAGTATAAAGTCGAGCTTACAGAGCGTAGAACATTCTGCGTGGAGGCGCACGGATCCTACTGGCTCCAACGATGCATAGCCTCAGACAGGGCATATCCCGTGACATCACCGGTTTGACCACAGACAGGTAGCTATCAGACGCCAAGATGAAGGAATATAAGGGCATGTTTGTAAGACTCGATGCCGCCGTGCCCGGAATCCAGACCATTGAGGTTGCCCGCAGCGTCATATTTACCGTGCGCTTTGTGCATCTTGAAAGACAGATATTGTTTGTAAGCCCGAAATTCACCGGTGGGCCCGGGATGTTGAGTCAGTCTTCTTGTGCTGGATGGATGCCCTTGCTCTTTAAGATTGGCCGACGTACTGGGGGATTAAACCCTGTACTTTATTTACCCGTAATCTTATCCATATTTTCTCTTGCCAGGTACATAGTGGAAGACAAATTCTTGCAATGCGTGGGATCCTAGCCAAGAACGATTAGACAAAAATGATATGCACGACTTGGCTAGAGTTCCAGTTCAACAAGGAAGACCGCAGAGCCAGAAGGACCGTTATGATCTTGGCACGGATAACGTCTGTTAGTATTTGCCGAAAAACCCTGTGTGCCGAAAATAACCAATCGGATGCCAAGGATCATGGACTTCAGCATAGCCGTTGTGATCTAATTAGTTATCTTTGGCACACAGGGGTTTTCGGCATGCAGTTTGTAACAGACGTTAGAACAGAAGTGGATACTTTACAGGTATCGTCTGTGCGTTAGACAATAGCCTATTGCGTTAGTGCTGGGGTTTTATTAGGCCGATATCAGTTCAGAGTTAGAACGTTTTAACCTGCACTGTACAAGCTGGCTTAGTCTAGTGTCAGGGAATCTAGAGAGATTACTTTGAAACATTTGTTAATGCAATATCAAGTGTACTAAGATAGCTATTGCTATTTTTAAGCGGCATAAGCCATATTTCACCTTCACAGTCAGATAAGGGAGGACTTGAAAGGTTAGTTCGGTGTAAAGCCGGCCCGATTTAACGCTACAGTCACTCCTAATGGCAACATGTTAATATCACGACCTAAAAAAATAATATTTTTGAAATGCACTAGTTGATAAGCTTTTTGTCAATGCAACATCGAGTGTACCAAGACGGCTAAGGCAACTTTCGAGCTGCACAGGCCAGAACCCCCCTTGACAGCTCGCACACCCAGTCAACGTCTGACGTGGATTCAGTTTAGGCAGTACTTTCCCACATATTTTGGACCTAGGGAAGCAATCGAACCGAAATATCCATCAGTGCCATCAACATACCATCATGTCCTCAATTCTGCCACCTGCGACAAACGCTTTGATCCCCGGCCTAAGTTTTCCAGGGAAGCCGTATGATGTTTCTCGGCACAATTCTATGGACACATTCCAACAGAATGTTGTCCGAGTTCGTGATTACATCCAAGAAAGACTTCAGGTACGAGTTCAAAAACTTTACCCAAACAAGAAAACAGATTATGCCATCCTTTGAATGATTATCATCACGAGACTCAGTTCTAACAATTGAAATGTAGGACTTCTCAAGCCTCAATCATGTCATAGAACTCAACCTTGGGGATGCGGCTCAATATAAGAGTCCCCCTATCTACATTGATGCTACATTGCCAGATGCTGAATTACTAAACGCTCTACAAGATGGCGTCAAGCCTGACGTTGTGGTGACAATCATGCCCGAATACATCTTGAACGTAGTCGAAGGCCGAATGCATGCCGTTCACGCATTCGGAAAGCGTGCTCAGCCGCCATGTCGAGGAAGTTTCCCCATGTGCTTTGCTCCTGGTGGACGTCCCGAAGCAGTGGTGAACGCAGAGGAAATTGACCAGGAGAGCTTGCCCAAGCCCACTGAAGATATAGACCAGATCAAGCACGACCTCACAAGATGGGGTTACGCTATGGTCAAGAATACTCTCTCACCCACACAAGTCGGGATCCTCAAGACTGCTGTTGAAGAGCAAGCAGCGGCTGAGCGGCTGGCCGGTGTAGCACATATGGATCGCGCACACGTGCAAGCAGACGACCAACCCAACCAGCGCGTGTGGTACTTTGTTATTCCATTCGTTACCGTATTATCTCATCTAGCTAACTATTGAACAGGGGTCTTCCAAATAAGGGGGATGAATTCTTGGATCTTCTCAACCATCCTTTGATTGATGCAATCATGCCTTGGTTCTTGGGTGATGCTTTCAAGCTCCATTCTATGGGAGCCAACATTGCTCATCCTGCAAAGTCTGGTATCTACATGCACAGAGATCAGATGGGGCTGACGCCTGAGACAATTGACCATGCGTACTTGCTGAACGCTATGTGGTATTTGGTCGACGTCACAGAGGAGAGAGGCGCAACGCGTATCTATCCTGGCTCTCATAACAGAAACGTTGCGCCTCCCGTGATCAACCAAGTCGTAAGTGCCTCGAGAACATTCATCAAATATTCACGCATGTACCCTAGCTGACAGATCGCAATGAAGGGAGGTTCTGTTGCCGCAGCGGCTCCGGCAGGAACATGTGTTCTTCTGGACAGTCGTACCTGGCACTCTACTGGTGTCAACACATCGGATACAACGAGGCCAGTCATTCTCTCGGCTTTCTGTCGTTTCTACTTGCAGGCTTTGGAGAAGTACCCGGACTTCATGGATTTTGAAACCAAGGCAAAGCTTTCTGATCGACAGCTGGGGCTTTTGGGCTTCAGCATTCCTCCGAGAGATGGCAAGCGGGTGCAGGCGTATACCGCCTACAATTACCCGGGCACCGATTTTGCGAAGTCGAGGGCACCGGTTGATGCAGGCTGGACAACTGCTAAGCCGAATGGCAAATAGAGGCTTTCGATGAAACTCAATATGACAAACGCGTGATCATAGTTCATGACTTGGTTAGATTTTTTAGGATTTTTTATTGAGAAATTAAATGGAAAGATTGCGCACTCGAAGTTTTGATTACCATTTAAATTTTGCTTTTCGAGAGTGTTTGCTAAACCAGGCACAATGCTATAACATCAACAGTATCATTTAAAAGTAGTGGCAACATCCAGGCTAATTGCGCATCGAATCACTAGCTATTCCAAGAGAGGAGCCAAACAGCTCATTTTTAACCATGCGATGTTGCCATTGGTTCCAGCCCGAATGTACTCGAGGCTGATGGCCTTCCACATCTCGATGTCTTCTTCGCTGCAGTCCCATACCCTTGGGTTGATAGGAATAAGCCAGAGCATATAGATCCCAGCACTCAAAGCTACTTTGGATACAAATTCTTCGTTTACAAGAGTAGTTCCAGCCTGTTGCTTGTAGGAGGATAAGAAGGACGAAAGCAGACCCCTGTTCCCAAACTTTGCCTCCAGTATCATGGTTTCGGCAACCCACATTCGAATGTCGTTTGAAGGATCTCCGTAATGGCAAAGCTCCCAGTCAACAACTGTGAGATTCGGGGGCGCTTCACCTGCCGTCGGCAGACGAACCACGATGTTCATCGGTCGAAAGTCCCAAGGCGTCAATGTATGAGTGGGAGTTGGCGCTCGCATAGCTGCGAGGACCTTTTCCGACTCTTCCTCGCTCATGGAAGCTTTTATGGCCTTTTCAGCAAGGCCTCCAGGTGCGTAAAACTTGTCCAGCTCATCGTGGCGAGAGCTCCATCCATCGGGGCCAAGAGCAATGCCTGCAAGATGCAAACTGCCGAGCCATCGGCCCAGACGGACACCGATTTTCACCATATCCAGTGAAGCATCCGTTTTGAAGGCCGTACGCAAATCCATCTCACCGACATGGTTCATAATGAAGCCGTTCTTTGTCTCCCTTAGCACACGGGGGACCTGAACACTAGGTTCCTGACGGCATGCCTCTGCAACAGCTTCGGACTTGAGTGCCTTGACCTCGAATTGTAGTCTTTCTGGCGAGACGGCAAATTTCTGATATTTGGGTGTGCTAAAGGCACATTTCATAATGGCTGGTTGACCCTCATGATGGCCGTTGGCCGAGGCTTCTGTGTCTTTGAGCCCATCAAGTCGCAAGATGAGGCACGATGTGCCGGTATCCAGAGATACTGCTTTGTCGCAGCATACTTTGTTTTGAGACAGGTATTCATCAACATCAAACTTCCAGTGGAGTGGATTTGGGGGAGGTTGAGGTGGCGAAGACATGATGGCAAAAATCGCTGGGGTGCGTGAGGTAGCTGGTGCAGTATTGCTTACGACCTCGACGGGTATCTCGACGTACTTATCTCCGAAATCCATCAATTTTCGGGTTCTTGCGGTCCGCACAATGCGTGATATATTATCATTCTCTTAAGAGATGCATGTTCCACCTGAAACAAATGAACGTAAAAAAATCGTTCTCCAGAATTGTGCCCATGCCGTTTCCAAATCTGTCACGGTCATACTTTTGATTAGGCCGAAATTCTACGATTTTACCCCGCACGGGGGGTTCTAACGGCCTCAAGTGGTAGCACCTGGTCATTCATAAATGAGGAGGCATTTATTAGGGTTCTGTCTAAATTAAACCCTGCAGCATCCGTTCCGTATCCTGGTTTCAGTAGCGATCAATCGCAGGTAGCGGAGCGAACTTTTGTTCAGCGAAACTTTACATTACAAGGGGGTAGCACGAAGAGGTGAGTAGTGGGGCTTAGCGCAGGGGCATAGCTGTGGAGATCACGGCTGAAACCGAGTAGGAATCAATCAATCAATCAATCAATCAATCAATCAAGACACCCCACCGCTGCCTTACATGCCAAGAAAGAATTCGTATTTACGCTCTACGCTTTAACGCTCGTGGGTTATATACAAGGATTTCACAAGAGCTTCAAATCCCGTATGAGGCTAAAGGTCCTCAACGGTTATGTTATTCTAGCCGAGTAACGTCCGTTACTTTGTGCCGAAAAACTCTATGTGCCGAAAATAACCAATCGAATTCTAAGGATCATGGACTCCGGTCTAGCCGTTGTCATCCGATTGGTCAATATCGGCACACATGGTTTTTCGGCATGCAGTGACAGACGTTAACTTTGGAGGAATCCACGGTAGAAGTTTATTATCCTTGTTTCTAATGAGTCTTACACAATGTTAGCCGAGGTTCCCGGTTATGTCAGACACTTCTTGCATGTGCTGCCTGAAGGGCGTGGGGGCGGGATTTTAAGGGGGAAAGTCTACTTAGTTCTACTGTGGGTGCGGCAGGCTACATTGTTAAAAACTGTCGATTCAGTCCAGTCTCGTACCAATCTGAGTCTTTTATCATTATCTCAGTACATCAGTAATACTTGATACCTTAGAGATAGACCTTCCTGCGTCTTCCACGATGACCTCGGAGACGAACATCCCCGGCATGGAGCTGTTTGTTCGCAAGATTGACGAGAACGCCAAATGGCACCCTAACCACACGCTCGTACGCTTCGCGAGTGGACCTAATTGGGAGACAGAGGGATATCGTTCCCTGACCTGGCAACAATATGCCGAAGGTATCAATGCCACTGCTCACTGGCTCGATGAGACCTTTGGTAAATCTGTCGGCAATGAAACTGTCGCATATTCCGGCCCCAGCGATGTCCGATACGCCTTTCTCTTTGCAGCATCGGTCAAAACAGGCCGCAAGGTAGTTCTCACTTATTCATTGGTTTATTTTGATACATGCTGATAAAGAGTAGTTTCTTGTACCAGATGGGAGATTCATGAAAGATGGCCTTGATGTGTTGCTGCAGTCATCCAACTGCAAGATCTGGCTGTATTCCGAAGGAGGAGCATTCTGCCCCGAGCCAGAGCTTGCGGCATCCGGCGTCAAAGTACAGCAGTTCAAAAGCCTGAACTGGTGTCTTTCAGTCAAGGGAGCCAATCCTTATCCGTACGAAAAAACTTACGAGGACGCTAAAGATGATGAGATTCTCATTATCCACACCGGAGGGACGACAGGCATGTATTGATATCTGACTCACTCTTTGAATAATTGAACTAACGATATGAACAAAAGGGGCTCCCAAGCCAATTTTCATGAACAATGGCTTTTGGGCGGCAGGGTGCTCATCCGCTGGGCTCGCTCGTCGCCACTGGCCCCGAGGAATATCCACAGATTGTTTCCATGGTCGTTCCTTGATATTGGCGATCCCCATGAGACTTCAACCAGGTCTTGTCATGATCAACATGTTCTCAGTGTTCTCGGGCACTACTGTGATTCAACCTCCGCCAGATGTTGTGGGACTTCCGCCAGACATTTTCGAAAAGATGCTTCGATTGAATAAGGTTGACGGCCTCATGGCATTCCCCTTCACCGTCGTCGATCTGTACAACAACGAAAGGACTCGGGAGTCTTTGAAGTCACTTGAGTTTATCACCTATCTGGGATCTGCTCTGGACCGCGTAGTCGGAGATGCTCTCTGTGAGCATACTAGACTCAACTCAGTTATGGGTGCCACCGAGTCAGGCGGTCGCTTTTCACTTCACCCCATAGACAGAAAGCTTTGGTACAGCTTCCAGTTCATTCCAGAGCACCACGTTCGACTGGTTAGACTTGAAGGTTCCGGAGCAGCTCTGGGTGACGGCGACGATGCTGATGTCTACCAAATGTTCATCGATAGACCTCCTGATGGCGGTCCCTCGATCTATCAGTGCGCGTTCTGGAACTACAAAATGTTCAAGGACGTTCAGTCTATCGACACGAAGGAGCTATGGAAGCCTGTCAAGGACAGAGACGGCAGTACACGATGGGAATCGGTCGCCCGTACCGATGACTGGACGAAACTGATCTGGATGGCAAAGTTCCACGCTCAAGACATTGAGAATAAAGTGGTCAGATATCCAGGTGTCAGGCACGCAATGGTTGGAGGTGCAGGTCGTATCGCGCCATACGTACTGATCGAGGTGAACGACGAGTTGCTGGGAAGAGATCCTAAGGAGCTTCTCGATGATATCTACGAGAAGATCATTGAGTCGCACAACAAGGTTTCTGCCAAAGCAGTCGCTATTCCACGACAGACTGTTTTCTTGGCTAGTAAGGAGAAGCCCATCAAGCTGACTGTGAAGCAGCTAGTACTCCGTAGAGAGGTGGAAAGGGATTACAAGGAGGAGATTGAAGCTGTCTTTAAGGAGCTAGAGAGTGAGACCAGTCAGACGGCAAGTGAGAAGTTCGTGCAGAACATGAATTAATTTTAGTTTATAGTGTCGGAAAATTGTTTGTGAATATTCAAAACAGTGCAGTAATCAAGTGTAATCACTTTTTAACGTCGAATCCGAGTATGACATCTCCAACACTAAGAGCCACTGGTGAAATAGTTATATGACAGGACGGAAGATAAGAATGTATGAAAGCTTAGGAGGGTCTAAAATTAAGGATAGTCTTATAGGTTCTACAGGTCATAGTACATAAACATGTTCGTCTTTCCATTGGAATTGGTATGAGTTGCGACAGGACATTGGCTTCATTCCTCTCCGGCTAGCTTGATCTCATGACCATTTCCCTCCTTCACAAACCAAGTCAAGATGATAGCCACTAAAGACACGGCGCTGCTGGACCAAAAAATGATGCCAGTGAGGTCGTGCGTTGACCCATAAGCATACACATTTCCCGCCATGGCAGAACTAGCAGCCCTGATCACCATTGACGTGAAGAAAGTAATACTATGCGTTCTTCCCAGAGCCGATGGATGAGGTGATGAAAAGTTGGCCAGCAGAAGCTGCGATGGCGTGACAACGCTGGTGATGAGCGCTGTCGACGCCTGGATAAGGACAAGATATACCCACACTACGATTCCGGTCTTTTCCGCTGGCGGTGGCGTTGTAGACGGCATGACAGCGACGTACGGATATGCGAAATACAGGATAGGATACCCGAGATAGAAGAGGCGCCAAAGTTTCAGACATCCAAGACGCTGGTTGAGCCATGGGTAGGCTAAGACTTGCATGGGGATACCAATGATGCCTGTGAAGATATAAAAATGAGTAAAAATGATTATTGAGTGCCGCATTTTCGTTACGAGGAAGCCTTACCAAAGACGGTCGAATACCACGCGAGTGACTTCGGTCGAAATCCAGCGCCGCCTCCAAATCGGAAGGGAAGAATCCTGGAGCGTTCCTGATCTCTTGTAGAGACTGGATCGACCAACAGGTTCGTCATTGCAATATTGACGCTATTGAGATGAAGCTCATAGAGTAATGTAGTAAGAAGTACTAGAAGCATATTCTTGGTAAATATCCGGCTGGTGGGAAGTTTCGCATCTCTGGCACTTGATTCGACTGGGATACCAAGTGATACTTTGGCCTCGGATTGGATACTGCTGTCGACTTCTTTCATGAAGCCCATTTCTTCACCCGCATCGCTCTCATCGACGTCGGAAATGATTGGCGTGTAGTTTGCGTCTACAGAATATCTCCTCGGCATGAGGCAGAGTATAGAGTAAAGTTTACTCGAAATAGCAAGCCCAAGATCAAATCTGCCGCGCAATGGCTTGGAGGTCTACGATGTGTCAGCATGAAGTTGGGAAATAGCTCTCAGAAAACATGCCTCTTCAAGGAATAGGAATGCCGCCAATAAAAGGAGGAATAGAAACCCAGCATTCAGTAAAGCCGGCAATGCGTATGGGTATTTTGTCAAAAAGCTGTCGCCATCTCCCACTGTCTCAACCTGAACAGTCCAGCCTGCCACAAGCGGACTGATGATTATCGCCATCCGAGTAGCGATTGGTAGGAGCGCGAAAGCTCTAGCCTGATATCTATGCAGACTAGACTTAGCCACCAAGCCGGGACGCACGCGATATATGGGACTTTCTAGAGGAAGAAGCTTACCTCTTTTCCTGAACAAACTCTGATACCATCGTTCGAACCATGGCGACATTACCATTGGTGATTCCTTCAAAAACTCGAAGGAATACTGCCTGTCTAAAGCTTGTGATGAAGCCAAATAATGTACAGCTAATCACTAAGAGTAAATATTAGAAAATAGTCATCAAGCACACTAAACAAGACTCGAAGTCTTGCCAGCCTTGTTCGAGAGTCGTTCACTCACGGGACCCAGTTAAGCTCGTCAATACAACGAGTTTCCTCCCACCTCGCGGTGAGTCCGAGACTACACCCCATACCAAAGACGAAACAGCTTGCGCAATGGTATACGCGGTTTGAAGATATGCGGACTGAGTAATAATTTCAGCGCTGGACAATGTCGGATCGATATATTGGAGCTGGTAGAATATGTATGCACCGATGGATATTCTGACTACTGGCTCACTAAATCGAATCATGAAGAGAAGGAGAAGTTGGTCCTTGCGCGGTAACGAAGACCAGGAGACGGGGGGATATTGCTGTGCCATCTTGAACGCCTACTTTCGGTTCGGCGGAATAATTGGCCACGAACGACACGAATGCAGATTCATTTAATGCTGGTGAGTGAAAAGTCCCAAAGACCAAGTCACATATATTCAACAAACTAACGTCTGTCACTGCATGCCAAGAGACCCTATGTGCCAAAAATAACCAATCGGATTCCAAGGATCATGGACTTCTGTCTAGCCGTTGTGATCCGATTGGTCATTTTCGGCACACAGGGCTTTTCTGATTCATATTACGGACACTTTTCGGAGCAACATGTCAATGTCAGCAAATGAAAGATTCATTTTCTCGAAACGCACTATGCCACGAAGACGATACGAATAATCATTTAGGTCATACGAAGAAGTCTAATTAATTATTACGTACTGTGTCTAGATAGGTACAAGGACGATGTTTACAGAACAGAACGCAGGAGTTATAACGTCTGTCATTGCATGCCGAAAAACCCTGTGCCGAAAATAACCAATTGGATCACAACGGCTAGACAGGAGTCCATGATCCTTGGAATCTAATTAGTTATTTTCGGCACATAGGGTTTTTCACCTTACAGTAACGGACGTTATTTTACAATATCGGGCATAAGCTTTGTAAGTCGGTCCCAGGCAACAGGGGTTGTTTGAAATACTTTTTCAAATCTTATGTGCTGAAGGACAACAAGATTGTAAGTCAGACTTACGTGCGATAATAGGGTGTTGACTACTGCATGAGAAATAAAAGGGGTTCGATGTAATTTAGTCTCTAGGGCGTCATGGCGCAACCCCGTTTGCCCGGGACTCACCTACAAGACTCATGTCCGGTACCACAAATTTGTCCCATACAAATATAAGAGAACGACCGGCTAAATCTCTACATTCACCGGCCGCATGATACTGCCTTTCGTGGTCGTAGGGCCGAGGTATGCAGTCGATGCGTCACTGACCATGCATTAAAGTTATCCTGTTCGATAGCAAGAGTAGCCAGCCCACGCAAGTCTGATATCACGTAGTACGACACGATGCATGCGACACTTTAAGTTGACCAGTTTTATATGCGCTGTCACAGGTATGAACTGAGCCCTTAATATAATTAAACAGAGCTCTTAAATGTCGTGTTACGAGAAAGATCCTTTGCCAGAATCAGCAGCAGCGACAATCCGTGGATCGTGGAGCGTCAGGGTCAGGGCAGCGGGATTCTCTCACCCCCGCCCCTAAGGATACCCCAGTTGTTCGAGTACCGATACTGCTCGGCCCATGCGATGATGGCATCCCAGTCTTTGCACTGGTGCTGATAACCCCACCCCGTACCCACTTGCTCGTTGTACCTGCGCCACTCGAGCGTCACATCTGCGTTGCACATGATGGTCTGCCGTAGGTAGTCCCAGCAGTGGTTGAGGTGTTCCGAATCCCACCCGGGATCTGTGGGTTTTTCTCTCTTCCCGGGTTTCTTGGCCCCCTCCCCCTCGCCCTTGATTTGATCGAGAAGGCCATAGTAGGCGTCCATGGTGCTGTACTAGTGACGACGGGGTAAGTTACGGGGCTGTTACAAAAATTTAACCTGGCAGCATGACTTACGAGACAGTGGAGTTGATGGAATACAGACGGAAATGCATGGTGCTCTGCAAGTGATTGGTTTAGTCCGGGCAGATCAGGCAGAGCCGTCTCATTCCAGATCTTTACCCAACCTCGGCCCTCTGTTGTCATACATTAGCACTATCGTTTATGCAAGTGAAGGACTGGACCGAGAACGCACTAGGAAGCAGACCGTTCCATGCTTTAATGCTCTCGGGATTCGGCGTCTGACCGTACAGCTCATCCGATTGCAAAATCTTCGTGACAGGGACTGCAAACTCAAAGTTAGTACAATTTGTCGTTTAGATTGCCTATCGATTTCAGAACTGCCAGAATATGTGTCAAAGCGGGTATCTTTCCTTCTTCCGAAACTACCCAGTCAGCGAAGAAACATACTTTGAGGCGGGAGCCATTTTGGTTGTGGTGGATATACCACATTTGTTGGCTCATCCCGATGGCATGCAACCGGAACATAATTCCTGAGGAGAAATAACACAGTCGCAATGGTGATTACGTTTGAGAGTGACAGGGTGAAAATAATCAAGGAAGACCGCAGTGATTGCTGAGGAATTCTTTGGTTCTCGTAAGGTTCGTGAGAATGGAGCAGGCTAGCATTCTCGTTTTCATTCTCGGCGTTGGAGAGGTTCTCCATATGGTTCTTTTCCATGCCGTCGGTGTCGTCTGCATACTTGGTTGCGGGACCTGTCATTTTGCTTCTGTGCCGTGTGCAAGTTGGTAATTCGACCGGAAGATGTTTTTCATTCAGACTTTCGTGAGGTATCACGGGTTTTATAAGTGTCTCGGCGTAATAGTAGTGTTTCCCGCCCGCACTAGGAAGTTCCTCCGTCGAGGCGAGTGACTTTTTGCATCTACAAGGGGTAGCTCTGAGGTCGGCGTGACATTTTTTAAGCGCTTAACGACTGTGCTGCGATACGGGGAAACCCGGCTCATAATCGCCAGATCAAAAAGGCCCACCTTCCTGCTGCTGTAACTAGAATGTATATACCTTCGGATGTGTCGTTACCATCCGCTGACATATCGTCTTCTATCAGATATCAGCCAGTCCACTTCAGCTCCTCAACAGACACTAAGAGCGAAGATGATCATGAAGTACTGATGTCGTCCAAAGATGCATGGGTCATGCCTCAGCGCAGAGCAAAGCTAAAGCAAGCGCTCACGCTTCTCCCTCCTCTTCTCTTCATACGTAGACGGGGCAGCTTCGGTGATAGTGGTCTGTTAATAAAAGGATGAAACAATTAAGAACAGGGTTTAACTTCACCTAAACCTTTTTCTACTTACCCTACCCCTACACCTTGCATTAATTATTAATAACGTCTGTTCCTTTATGCTAATATACTCTATGTGCTAAAAATTACTAGTTAGATTATAACAGCTAGACAGAAGTCTATAATCCTTAGAATCTAATTAGTTGTCTTCAGCACATAAGGTTTTTCGCCACACATCAATGGACATTAGCATACTAATTGTCAGCTAATCCACAGTTTCGGAACCACTATACAGTTTTTACGGTACGTGAGCTTGGAAGTCCATTTCAGCTATATCATTTCTGCACTGCACCATACCTGCCAGCCCCCAGGTACATTCGAAAGTATGTAGTATTCGTATTTGAATAGCCTACTTCGTTTATAGCTTATTCACAAACACGGGACAGGTACCGCACTTCACCAGGGTCTCGAGGGACCGTCACTGGACCCAAATCAGAAATACATCGGTCTGTTGTCGGTGGTCGGTGCTGGAACAGGTTGGGGTTCAGATGGTGTAACCCAATCCTTCCATGGCTGGACCCGACTATCATCCGGAAACGGGCCGTTAGGACCGGGTCCCTCTTTCTGGTATGGAGCCGGCTCCAGTACAATGAACCGCACCTCAACGCTACAACGGGATGGGCAGCCGGGACGGGCAGCTCCATTTCGAAATGCTGCGTGGGGCACAACTATGGTGGGATGTCAGTCAGTCGCACATCTATTGGCATTGGCAACGTCCGAACCACGGCCACGGGGAGAATTGTGAAACCTACTGTTGAAGAAGCCGCCTGGCGGGTGAGTATCGTATTGAGTCATTATGACAATCTCGTCTAGGGTTTGGTTGCTCATCCAGTACCATCTATGAGCGGGGTTCCAGGAAAAGTATGCTACCTCTTTGGTGGCTTCATAGGTGATGCGATCAACTGAGACAACATCGGCAAGATCGATATTCGTTCTCGGGTCACACACTGCGAGGGGGATATCTTCCGCGTGATTGAACATTGGGCGCCAAATGCTGGAAGCAGGCTCAGCATCAGTTTGCAGATTGTAGAACACGAGTCAGCAAAGCCGCGAGGGAGCTTACTTGATAATTCTTGCCCGGCTCTGGCCTGACAGAACACGCTCTCTCTCTTCCTCGGTGAGGAACAAGGAAATACGACTCCATGAGCTAAACACCGTGTTGTCTGTGGGGAATGATCAAAATCAGTTGCTGAACTTGCAGGAATACGAGTATTGGTCTCACCTAGATGGGCAAACGGGAGATGCCCAGTACGGCCTCCAGTCGAGCGTGAATCGCGGAACTTTTTCCCGGAAGAGACCCTAGTTAGTGAAAAGAAACTCAAAGATGATATTTTGAGGCCGAACATTTGCGTTGATGGGGAATATTTCATTAGTTCCCAGGCGTATTTTCCTAGTACGAGTAAGCTACCTCTGTTGGAACCCAAGGCCGAAGCGCTGGTTGAGCTTGGTTCTACTTACAGGAATTGCGACATCTCTTCCAGATAAGGTTTGCAATCACTAGCACCTGTCATCTTTGGAAGTTCTCTCGATTTGTTCTCGAGGAAGCAGAAGCCGTTCTCTTCGATTGTGGGCTTGAAGTCGGGCACAGTTCGTATGTCCGTCAAGTTCAACTTGACATTTATTAATATCTTAGTTCTCCTGAGATCTCGTTTACAAGAGCTTCGAATAGGCTTACATCCATGTCCTTCATGACAAAATTCGTCTTCGGAAATACTTCTCCGTCCGGCCCATCCCACAAGTACGGCTTAACCGTTTGATGGAGATCAGTTCTCTCGAAGAAGGCGGTGACTGCTGCCATGATGATGGAAATGACTTGGGGGTGAGGCCAAGAAGAAGTCGGATTCGATCAGAGAAAAGAAGTGGTGGCCGTTGAAGGTGTTGTCAGCCATACTTATGTCCATCCCGACGTTGGTTCCGTTCTAGACGAAAGCCAATCGGGTGTATAAATGAATATGCAAGGCTTGCTTGATCATTGCGACTCGATTTTGACAGACTAACGTCGGCTACTGTGTGGCGAAAAACCCTGTGTGCCGAAAATAACTAATTAGATTCCAAGGATCATAGACTTCTGTCTAATAGGTATAATCTAATTAGTTTTTTTTAGTATATAGGGGTTTTTAGCATACAGTAATAGATACTACAAGTAATTAATATAAGGTGCAGGGGTAGGGTAAGTAGAAAAAGGTTTAGGTTAACTTAAACCCTGTTCTTAATTGTTTCATCATTTTATTGACAGATCACCATCACCGAAGCTGCTCCGTCCACGTATGAGTCGAGGGAGAATTTCTCATCTGAAGCGCAGTAAAATCGAGTTATTATCATTCGAATGAGGCGGCATATCGCACACCAACTGGCTGCACTGCTCTGAAGCCCTGACGCAGATACCAAAATGCTGTCTCTCTTGTCGTCGGTAGCCTTACTCGGTCTTGTACTCGTAGTATTTTTCCTAGCCGTTGCGATCCTTCGTTCCATTCAAAATCTGTTTTTTCATCCTCTGGCAAGATATCCAGGTCCCCGCCTAGCAGCCATCTCCCCATTATTACACATTTATCATTTCATTGCCGGCGATGCTGTTAGATGGCTCGATAGACTGCATCACAAGTACGGAGATGTCGTCCGTGTCGAGCCCAACCGCCTGAGCTACATCGCTCCTCAAGCATGGAAGGATATCTACGGACACGCTACAGCAACTCGCAAGGCCAATCCCAAGGAGAGGAAGAACAGCAAAAACCTCTTCTCTAACGGAAGCTACTCCATTTCGTCATCACACGGTCCCGAGCATCAACGCCTTCGCAAGATTTTTAGCAATGCGTTCAGCGACCGCGCTATCACCAAGCAGGAGCCCATGCTTTCGCTATACGCGCGCCAGATGGTCGATCTCGTACGACGTGAAATTAAAAAAGGTGCGGGTTCTCCCGAAAGCACCGTCATGGATGCCGTTCAGCTATTCAACTTCGCCACGTTCGACATCATGGCTGATCTAGCATTCGGCGAGTCGCTGGGTTGCCTCGAAAAGGGCGGGCCCAACGCATGGACTGACGCCGTTTCGGTGAACTTCAAGAGGATGATCATTAGGGCGAGACTCAGGCCGTACCCTGTGCTATCATACTTCTGGCACCTATTCCAGCCGGCGCAAGACAAGAAGGCTGCCGCCTTGCATGTCCAAAGCTCCCACGAACGCGTCACCAAGCGGTTGGAGAAGGGTGCCGACGCAAGAAATGACATTTGGGGACTTGTTCTGAGAGCCGAGGGACCCAACGCCTTGAGTCGTACCGAAATGAACAACAATGCCAACAACTTGTGAGCAATGCATGCGGCACGCGATGTTATCACAATCTACTAACGCTTGCACTGTACAGTATGATAGTGGGCACCGAGACATCAGCGACTGCACTGAGTGCACTCACATATTTCCTGCTGACGAACCCACCCAAGCTCCAGCGGCTTGTGAAGGAGATTCGGCTGAGCAGTGACTCGAGTCAGCTCACCGGCGAAGTTTTGAGGGAGATGCCGTATCTCCAAGCTTGCTTGACTGAATGCCTCAGATGTAACTATCGAGCCACTAGCCCATAGTGTACAAGACTATTGTTACGCAGCGCTGACGAGTCACCATAGTGCACCCCCCCGTTCCCACGGGAGGTATGCGCGTCATAGGCGAAGGCGGCAACACCATTCTTGGCCATCTCCTTCCTGAAGATGTAAGCAATTCTTTTCTCGTCCCAATTTGACCATCGCTGATTGGGCTGGAATTCTAGACAAAAATGTCGATTGCGACATGGACAGCCTTCAGGACCTCGCGATACTGGAAAGATGGCAACGCATTTGTTCCTGAGCGATGGATTCCCGGCGAGCCTGGCTACGAAGAGTATCAAGCATACGACAGGCACAGCGTATTTCAGGTATTTGGCGCCGGGCCTCGCGCTTGTATTGGCAAGAAGTAAGCTATTGCGCCCCCTCTAAATCCCCTTTTCTTCCATCAAATTGTAACTGGCAGCTGATACTGTGGGCTCGGGTAGTCTGGCATTGCAAGAGATGCGTCTCATCTACGCCAACCTTTTGTTCCACTTTGACCTGGAGCTGTGCCCGGAAAGCGAGAGGTGGATGGAAAACCAGAAATGTTGGACTCTGTGGTTCAAAGACGATCTTCCCATAAAGCTGTCTACGAGGAAATCTTCGTGAACGTTGTCTAACTTGGATTAAAATGCGTCAGAGCTTGGTTCAATTCTTGGTTCTCCCTTACTTCTCAGGTGTCGGTCTATAAGGTTTCCTGTAGCTCCTTAGTCTGTCTGTTAAAGCAGAGCTCTGGTACTCTGTCTTCTAGAAAGGATTCTGTTTAGGCTAGTAGACAGCAGGGTAGGCCTGGGGGTGGCGACCAGCTCACCACTAGCCTCGGCTGAAATAACATGTGCCTCACGTCACGTGATACGATAATAGATAAAAGTCAGGAAACATGCTACGCGTCCACAAGGGAACAACAACAGAAGAACACAATCCACTTTCACCGACAATTTACTGTCCTTGATAACCCATCACAATCTAACAGATCCTCGACTAGTTGACGAATTTGGGTCGTCATCTTCTGAACATCCTCAAATCTCTGAGGGATATGATGCCCGCCCTCAAAATTGATGACTTTGGCGGCTTTCTGAGAATAGTGCGTCGCAAGAGTGTCCCTTGCCTGTCCAAGGTTGCAGTCTTGGCTCCCGTGAATATGTAAAGTAGGTACCGAGATGCGCCCAATCTTGCCATCTTCTGACATCTTGCGGATGTACTCTGTCGCCACGTCGCTGTACGCACAGCAAACCAGTACTCCAAATTCCAACCTGGGTAGCCACGGGAGGAGCCTCATCTCTTGCTCCCAGAGCAAGACCGTGCTCGCCAGCCCGCCTTGTGAGAAGCCGAGGACTCCCACGATGTTAACGGTCGGGTTCTCGCGATCCCAGTCTTCCACCGCGATCTTGACCGCTTCGTTGAACACCGCGACCTCCTCGTCGGTGTTTCGCGCCTCCTTGCGGAACCAAGAATAAAATGACTTCATACCGGCGAAGAAAGGAAGGACATCAGGACCTGGCACTGCGATGTGTGGACCAGTGGCGTATACAAATTCGAATTCATCTTTCAGCGCCATGCGGAATTTGGCGAGCTGGAAATGGAAAATTTCTGGTGACGCCCCACCGCCGTGCAAGCAAAGGATTGCCTTGGAGGGTGACTTATTCAAAGATTTATTCATGCTTCGCTATTATTTGGTTAGTTCGTACTTGCAGGACCACCCATCTTACACGAATGGACTAACGGAGATAGACTTTGGATTATGCACGGAATCGACTTCTCACTAGCGTCTGTTGTTTCCCTTCGAATTTCGAATGCAAAAGATATGGAACAATTGGTACAGAACCCAAGAGGTGTGTATGAAGAAGACGATTTCCAGAGATGGTAGCGTGCCGCCTCGTTATTAATGTACTATGGTAGCAGGCATAATTTTGTGAGTGGGGCGGGCAATGCAGGGGTGCCTGTCGGATGACGCGGAATGGCTCTCCTGACTAGATTGCACCGAATACCTCCTAATTTTGTATATAACACAATGCTGACCTGTCTTATGCTGCATCCACGTGTCATTCTCATGATGTCTACCCAAGCTTCAACGCCACCACCTACCCACAGCTAGCACCTCAGCCGGGATCAACGCCTTCAAGTACAGACTCTCAGACTGGCTGGGCATATCTACAGGAACATTGCCAACCTCCTCCATATCACCGAGAGACAAGTTGCCTGGGCAGCTACTAGCAATCAGGTTACTCTAAGAAAACGCAGTGATTGCCCATGAGCCCTTACAGATGCCCAAGTTAATAAGCTTGAGGCCTACACCCGAAGCTCACGACGCACGCGTTAAATGAGCTGTCAATTGCTTGCTAACGGCCCTTTTAAGGCCTAGGGGGTTACAGAGCACGTTGTCTGCTGGGACTTACAAAGGAGAGGGTACACACGGTGTGTTGCCTGTGCTAAGCCACCTCTTACAAAAGTTATTATGGATAATTGCTTGCAGTGGGCACAATGGTATATTAATTAGGAGCCTTAGCAGTGGTGGAGAATACTATGGAGTGACGAGAGACCTGGATAATTAGAGGGCGTTACCATAGGAGATGGGCAACTTGGATAGCTAGGGAGGTGCTTGACCCTACGTGTGTAATTGACAAGGTACCTAAAAAGCGTGGGTGGATGTTTTGGGCTTGCTTTCCTGGCGCAACAAAAGGCCCCTCCCTCTTCTGGGAGAAAGAGTAGAAGACAATCAACAAAGAGAGTTACTGTGAAAGGATTGTACCACTAATCCATGGGTAGATAAGCCTTAACCTAGAGCTTCAGTTCATGCAGGATTCAGCTCTAGGTTATGCAGCAGGATACACCCTTTCTGAGCTCTAAGAAAGAGGTATTCATCCTATCTACTGGCCACCGTACTCGCTAGACCTCAATCTAATTGAGCTTATCTGGAATCAGATGAAACACTACATTGAGGTAAACTATCCTGATTTGCCTAGGGGTAGGCAGTGTACATATGATCAACTTAGGAGCATTGTAAACACCAGATTGAAGATTCCTGCTAGCAATTTGTATATCAGCCTCGCGAGGAGCCATGCTGGATGCACTTTTGAGTTATCGCGTGATGAAGGTGGAGTGCGCATTGTGGTACGCTGTGTGGGAACCCTGGGTGCACAGAAATCTTGGGATGAATTTTTGTGAGCTGTACGGAAGACAACAGAAGAAGCATACATTGCCATCGTTTTCGAGCTAAGAACTTTTACGTTCAAGCGTTCATTCGTACAACAACCTTCTCGCCTGAGAGGACCTTGTTCCTTACCATGTCCATCCCAGCCAAGATGGCCTCGAAACCGCCATCCAGTACACGTAACGGGTGATGTTGTAGCTTATCCTCCTGGACCAACTTCTCGACAGATTCCCACACAGATATGCCAAAAGTACGCATTTCCTCCGATGGGTCGCTTTTATACGGCGCGGGCCAGGTGCAACCCTCCCCGAAAATTCGGGGTCCGACTGTAAAATCGGCGGTCACCACCCTCCGAGACGCAACGTGCTCTTGCCACGGGTCGAGAGACACATATTTGCCTCCGCCACGACCGATAGCGGCATAGCAAAGTGCGGTGGACTCTACGGTCGTAATGCAGTCTAAAGCATACTTCAGATTGCCCTTGGTACATGTTTTCTAGACGGACCAGTAGTTAATTATCATGTCTCGACTGGAGTGTGGCCAAGCTCTCCATGTACTGGTGACTTACAATCTTTTGCGCGAGGTCCTTGTCGTGCCGATCAAAAACCTCTTTAGCGAAATTCTTTCTGGCCAAGTCAAAATTCCTGAGTGAGCAGACGGCGATGGGGATGAGACCGGAGCTATGAGTAGGAGAATGGTCAGATGTTTGCTTCACAGATTGGTAGCCAAAGACTAGAGATTGCCACCTACAGGTTCAGCATTTGCATCGCAATCGTCGCTGTCGCTGTGCTGGCACCGTAGACCAGGACATGAGAGGGCTTCGCGAGTTTCTGGCCTGGCAACGGCAACCCGAGCAGCTTCATCGCTATACCGGCGGTACTCACGCCCACGGGCAGAGAAGCAGCGGCCTCGGTGCTCCAAGAGTCTGGAATCTTTGCCCACATCTTGCCTCGGGTCACAGCGTACTCGCAGAAAGCACCGCGTTCCGGCGTGGTCCTGAACATCTCGTTCTGGGCACCAAAGACTCTGTCTCCCACTGCGATATGATCGACGTCTTGGCCCGTGGCAACCACGGTGCCAGCGAAGTCAGCACCCAAGATGCCAAATTTCGTCGCAAAGGGACCCCTCATCTTGGTGTCGCTCGGGTTGAGACCGACAGCCTCAACCCGCACCATGACCTGGTCTGCCGGAATTTTGGGACACGGCGCCACATCCCAAATCACAACTTCGTCCTTGTCGTTGACAACGACGGCTTTTTGTGTGGTTGGAGGCGTGAAGGTTGCTGCAATCTTGCTCATACTATCGGTAAATTGTTGTCTTATCGGGGTAGTGAGAATTATCACGGGCTAGCATTCGATGTAGTACCTCGAATGATTGCAAGACGCCCAGTTTTGCATAAGTCTGCGTTGTATGTCCTAGTCGATCTCCCAGTTCGACGGGGATCGTGCGTGTACGATCAAGCTCCACTCTGCATCATAGAAATCCTGTAATCAGCGGGATTAAATATGAGGCCCGAATCATCGGTCCGTAGGAACTCCTGCCCGAACGGTTAAAGGCTTCTTCGGGATTTTCTGCAATTGGTCGGCACTTATCACGGTGATTGTTTCGGTGCTCAACAATTCGGCGCGGTGTTGAAAGATCAAAATAGGTCCGTTTTGTAACTTGTGGGAAATCTACGATTTTGACTGTCGCGTGATAGGGTAAGATCCAACTGTAGTATATCGTCAGTCATTATTGTGGGTATTACTTTTGAGGCTCGTAATCTCTCTGTAACGTCTGTCACTGCTTGCCGAAAAACCCTATGTGCCGAAAACAACCAATCGGATTCCAAGGATCATGGACTTCTGTCTAGCCGTTGTGATCCGATTGGTCAGTTTCAGCAAACAAGGTTTTTCGGCATGCAGTGACAGACAGTTAACTCAACAGCGGAACCTGGGAGTTGTTGACACATCCCTTACAGGAGTATAGTAGCGTTGCTCTAACAGCTAAACCTGTGCAGTTTAGGACAAACTGCAAAACAGAAGGGGGCTATTGTTATAATATTCTACCTAACTGCCTTAGGTATACCCCAGGCTAAGGCCTGGCTGACGCTGGGGCCACGCCTGTATATGTTCTATCTGAACCAGAAATCATGTACAGTCGGGCCGTTCTCGATTACCTCATGAATTAGACGTTCTGCCGAGCTTTGTGCCCTGCTTAAGACGCTGCTCCATGCGCTAGCGTTGTGCTAAAACTTCAAACGTCTGGGGTATTCTGAGCCGATAATATTGCGCGCAGGGCAAAGCTTGCCAGGGCGTCAGAGGAAATCTGGTTCTAGTCCGTGTGCAAACCAAGCAAGCAGAGGTGTCAACAATCAATTAAGTGGGAAACAAGACATGCAGATTGACTTGATTGATTACCTCTTTGGGTCTGAAAGCTGCCTATATAGGCTTAGATCTTACCTCATTAAGTTAGCCACACATCGAGAGTTGCTGGGATTGACTTGATTGTTTATAATTGTGCAGGCAAGGCAGGGGTTAAAGAGCGGATAAGGGACGAAGAGCCCCTACTTTGCAAAGCAATACGTATGAAGTATTGCTTCGCGACAGCCAGACATGCAGGTAGACAGAGATTGAGATTTACGGGGAATTTAATATGCATTTGTGTTGCAAACTGCGCAGCTGTTGGAAGCATGAACTTTGTTAATAATACCACCTCCCAATTGACCGTAGATTGACCGATAGCCTCTATGTAAGCAGATGAGATGACGCAGATAATCATAAATCAATTCTCTTCACAGTGTTCCTCACGCACCAAAGAGTGCGACAATTTGCAAATTCTACAACTCCTCAGACGCTTCACAAACGCTCAGCCAACCATAACACAAGCTTGCGCTTGTTCGCCGATAAGTCTGGGATCCGAAGGCCCCCGGTTCCGCTGCTAGTATAGCGCTCGGCTTCTCAGCGGCGCATGTATGCAGAGTGTCTGATTAATAATATAAAGCTATTGACACTGACTGGCACAAGCTGACATACCCTTTCGTAGACAAGTGGATGCTACCCCAACTTTCCGTAAAAAAATACCCGGTGTTTGGACTTTCAGTTGCCCAAATCAACTGGCTCATATCTCAACACCTTTTGTTCCATCAGTCAAACCGCCTGCTGGGGTTTGATTAGCCGTATTTGTTGATCTCTTTGTCGGACAGATTCAACCATGCCACCCAGCGAACCCATTGTTGTTACTGGCAGCGCGTGCAGGTTTCCCGGAAGCGTCGACAGCCCTTCAAAACTTTGGGATCTTTTGAAGGAACCGAGAGACTTGCAGTCTGAAGTACCCAAAGATAGGTTCAATATTGACGCATTCTACCATCCCGACGGCTCCCACCATGGCCGCACAAATGCCCGTCACGGGTACTTCTTGGATCAAACACCGCGCGCATTCGACGCCTCATTCTTCAATATCCAAGCCGGAGAGGCGGAGAGTATAGATCCCCAACAGCGGTTACTGCTTGAAACCACATACGATGCTGTGGCCGCGGCAGGCTACGGATTGCATGATCTCCGTGGGTCTGACACGGCAGTTTATGTCGGTCTCATGACCCACGACTTTGAGCTCATCAAGGTCAACGATATAGACTATAGCCCAACTTACTTCGCGACGGGTGCTGCCACCAGTATCGCATCAAACCGTCTGTCATACTTTTTTGATTGGCATGGACCCAGCGTAAGTATCGCCTGAACAGAGGTAGATATGGCGAAGCGAACATCAGAGCTAACCTCTCCCGCAGATGACAGTAGATACCGCATGTAGTTCATCACTCGTTGCTGTGCATCTCGCAGTGCAACAGCTCAGAAGCGGAGTGAGCAAGACCGCCATTGCGGCCGGCTCGAACTTGATTTTGTCCCCCAGTAAGATGCCCCGATGTTTGTTTTCACTCACTTCCGAACGCTGATGGATCATTTTTATAGTGAACTACATCACAGAGAGCAAACTGAGCATGCTATCCCCGACAGGAAGGTCAAGGATGTGGGATATTGAAGCCGACGGCTACGCCAGAGGTGTAAGTCTCTCATCTACGAGCAATTTTCAGATCTCATGACGATCGACATACTAACCAAGCTCGCCTTTGCGACTTCTAGGAAGGTGTTTGTGTAGTAGTACTCAAGACGCTCAGTCAAGCATTGCTCGATGGAGATATCATAGAGTGCGTCATTCGTGAAACTGGCATCAACCAGGACGGACGTACAACGGGTATCACGATGCCGAGTCACATCGCCCAGGAGACTTTGATCCGCGAAACCTATGCTCGTGCCGGCCTCGATGCTCAGAAAGCCGAAGACCGGTGCCAATTCTTCGAGGCTCACGGTAAGTGGATTAACCCTACGGTATGTTCTCATGATTGAGACGTGGGCTTACTTTTCCGAATACTAGGGACCGGAACTCCCGCCGGTGATCCTCAGGAAGCCGAAGCAATTTCGAGAGCATTCTTTGGCAACTGCACTGGTTCTGAAGGCGACAAGTTGTTCGTCGGCAGTCTGAAGACCGTTGTCGGACACACGGAGGGAACCGCGGGTATTGCAGGGCTGCTCAAGGCATCGCTCGCCGTTCAGCACGGCATCATCCCTCCCAACCTGCTCTTTGAGAACCTGAGCCCGAAGGTAGCCCCATTCTACCACAACCTGTCCATCACGAAGATGGCACAGCCCTGGCCTGAGACGGCACCCGGTCAGCCGCGTAGAGCAAGTGTCAACTCATTCGGTATGTCTCTCATCACCGGACACTCTAGGCTCTTCCCTACGCCCCCCCCCTCCCCCTCCCTCTCCCCTAAAAAAAAACTAACAAACGGCAGGCTTTGGTGGCACAAATGCGCACGCCATTATTGAGGAGTACAAGCCCAGTGCTTCGAGCACTACCGCTCAGGGTTCAAATTCAAGCTCTGCAGCGTATACTTTGCCTCTTGTGGTTTCGGCCAAGTCGGAGTCCTCATTGAAGAGCCTGATGAAACAGACCGTCCATTTCATGAAGTCAAACCCTGATGTTGACATGCTGGATCTCTTATGGACACTTCTCTGCAAGAGGTCCGTCCTCCCGTACCGCCAAACTGTTGTTGGGGACTCCAGGGAGTCAATCACACTCGCATTAGAAACTGCAATCTCAGAAAACAGTGGCCCGGAACGCAATCTTCGCCCTTTCAACGCCGGACAAGGGAAGCCCCGCTTTCTGGGCGTCTTCACGGGACAGGGTGCTCAATGGCCTGGTATGCTGAAGTCGCTCATCACGGCTGTCCCCCATGTTCGTGATATCGTTGCCGAGCTCGATAATTCCCTACAGACTCTACCCTCTCAGTACCGGCCAGCTTGGACTATCTACGCCGAGCTCATGCTTGAAGGAGAAGCCTCGAATGTCACTAAAGCTAGCTTCTCCCAACCGCTGTGCTGTGCCGTGCAAATTGTCCTGGTCCGGCTACTAGCTGCCGCCGGTGTGGAGTTCACCACAATAGTCGGCCACAGTTCAGGAGAGATCGCTTGTGCCTTTGCCGGGGGCTTCATTAGCGCCTCACAGGCCATTCGAATCGCCTATCTTCGAGGTCTCACGTCCAAGCATGCTGCTTCGCCCAACGGGGGAGAGGGAGCCATGCTGGCGGCGGGCACGTCGCTGGAGGACGCGCAGGAGCTTTGCGAGCTCGAGATGTTCCAGGGCCGGATCTGTGTTGCGGCCAGCAACTCGCCAGACAGCACTACCCTCTCCGGTGACGCAGATGCCATTGTCGAAATGCAGGGCATCCTGGAGGACGAGTCCAAGTTTGTTCGCGTGTTGAAGGTTGACAAGGCGTACCACTCACACCACATGATCCCCTGCTCAGCGCCCTACCTCCAAGCCTTGGTCGACTGTGGCTGCGATGTCGCTGATGGCGCTGGGTCTTCTGCCGTGTGGTACTCGTCGGTGCAACAGAACAAGCGGATGCAGGCTAGCGACGTGAACGCCGAATACTGGAACAACAACCTGGTCTCTCCGGTGCGGTTCATGCAGGCCGTCGAGACTGCCGCCATCGAGCATAAGTCACTAGATGCCGCTATCGAAGTTGGCTGTCACCCGGCCCTTAAGGCACCTTGTCTCACGACCCTCAAGACAGTCCTCGCTGGCGAGCTGCCTTACACCGGCTGTATGCAACGCGGTTCCAGCGATGTGATAGCCTTTGCTGGTGCCCTCGGATACCTTTGGGAGCGCCTGGATCTCGCTGTTATTGATCTCAATAGCTTCATCCCCCAGGTGGTCTCCCCAGACAGGATCCCGCGAAGTTTGGCCAAAATTCTCCCGAGTTACCCATGGGATCACACTCGGACTCACTGGGCCGAGACACGGGCGATTAAGAACCACTTGCACGCTTCTACTCCTCATCTCATGCTGGGTTCTCTCTCCTCTTCGAGCACGGCCACGTTCTTCCAATGGAAAAATATCATCAGACCTAGAGACCATGAGTGGTTGCAAGGTCACGCGCTCCAAGGCCAGGCTGTCTTCCCTGCTGCTGGATACATCGTCATGGCCATGGAGGCTGCTATCCAAGTGGCTGGTGTACGCGCAATTCAGCTTCTCGAGGTTCTCAACATGAGCATTGATAAGGCCGTCACATTCGAGGATGAGAACAGCCCTGCAGAACTCCTCCTTACGGTCGAAACTCTTCTCTCAGACCCTGACCAACTCAATTTGAGCTTCAGCATCGATTCATGTCTTGCTAAAGAATCTAAGCCCTCAAGGTCTGCCAACGGTCAGCTCATCGTCACATTCGGAGACTCGACATCAGTCGATCACGTGCTCCCGCCCGCAGGCGAGGATCCTCCTCACTTGACGATGGTCAACATCAAGAACTTTTACCGTGAGCTGGACGAACTGGGTTTCGACTACAGCAAAGACTACCGCTGCGTTTACAACCTCGGACGGGCAGATGCGAAAGCTACCGGAACCATGGCGTTTCCTCGTCTCGATGATGGAGCGCGCCCCATCGTCCTGCACCCGGCCTCCATGGATCTAGCGTTCCAAACCATCATGGGAGCATATTCTGCCCCCGGAGACAAGCGTCTGAGGTCTATCTACGTCCCGGTGCACATAGACCGAATCACCGTAGTCCCTGCGCTGTGTGTATCCACTGCAGACTCCGACTCGGCCCCCATCGTCCATTTCAAAACGACCAACACGTACGACAAGGGTGATGTCCTGGCCGGAGATGCTACGGTATTTGCGGCGGGTAACGACAAGCGGGTCCTCTACCGCATCGAAAACCTGCTCCTGAAGCCACTCTCAAAGCCGTCCGAGGCCGAAGACCACAAGGCCTTCACCAAGACTGTCTGGGCCCCCCTGAAGCCGGATGCGCTCCTGGACAACCCAGACCTATGGGCCACTGAGCAGGACAAGCAGGTTATTCCCATAATCGAGCGCATCTGCTATTTCTACATGAAGAATTTCGTCAGCCAGCTCACCGACGAGGACCGCGCCAATGCGACGCTACCTCACCAGAGATACATTTACTGGAATGAGCATGTCTCGGCCAAGGTGAAGGAGGGCACCTGGCACGAGTGGTATAGCCCATCTTGGGAATACGACACCCGCGAACAGATTGAGCAGCTGGTCATAGAGTAAGTATCCTTGGGGGTCCCTCAGCTATGATGCACCCCTTCGCTAACCAGTTTTCCCTTAGAAACTCCTACCACCCTCACGTCAAGATGGCAAAGAGAGTGAGCGAGAACACGTTATCGACGATTCGTGAACAGAGCAATCCGTTCTTATGGATGGACCACGACGGTTTGCTGACGGAGTTTTACACGAGTTATCTAACAAGTGGCCCGGGTTGGCTATACGGCCAGGAACTCGTCAGCCAGCTCTGCCATCGTTACCAGACGATGGACATTCTTGAAATCGGTAAATTTTGCTGTCTCGGACAATCGCTTGCCACCATGATATAGGCTTACTCTCTTCGCAGGTGGCGGAACCGCCTCGGCAACAAAGTACATCCTAGACATCCCGCAGCTGGGTTTCAACAGTTACACCTTTACCGACATCTCGCCGGCTTTCTTCGAGAAGGCACAGGAGCTATTTACGGCTCACGAGGATCGCATGACCTTCCAGAAGCTCGATATCACCAAGAGACCGGAAGATCAAGGATTCAAGCCGCACTCCTACGACATGGTCATCGCGTCCTCTGTCCTCCACGCCACCCCGAAGCTGGCGGAGACCATGGCCAATGTCCGGTCTCTCCTGAAACCCGGTGGCCACGTCGTGCTTCTCGAAGCTACGCATAGGGATCATACCCGTGTCGGTTTCCTCTTCGGCTTATTCCCCGACTGGTGGGCTGGCATGGACGAGGGCCGTGACCTGGACCCCTTTGCGGACATCAAACAGTGGGATGCTATCTTCAAGCAGACCGGGTTCTCCGGCGTTGACACTCGCACCTTGGACAGACACGGAAACATATTCCCCAATACCCTCTTCTGCACACACGCCGTGAACACAAAGGTGGCGCGTCTGGATGCGCCGCTTTCCGCTCCTCCAGCGGACAAGTCGGTCCCACAAATTGTGGTGGTTGGCGGCAGCTCGTCTAAGTCCGCTCGCATACTCGGTGAGGTCCGCCAATTCCTGTCTCACCGGGACATTGTTAGCCTTGAGCGACTGGAGGATGTCCCAAAGGCATCCATCGCACAAAAGTCAACCTTGCTCGTCATCTCTGAACTAGACCAGGAGACCTTCTTGGGTATTGACGAGACAAGATTCGAGTCTATCAAGACCCTCCTGGAACTAGCCGGCTCGATCCTCTGGATCACCGAGAACGCCTGGACTGAAAACCCGTACCAGGCGATGACGGCCGGTATGCTCCGATCAGCCCGCCTCGAGTACCCCGCAACCCATAATCAGTCGCTCGACGTTGACGACGTCAACAGCCTAGACATTCAGTGGCTTACTGAACAATTGTTACGTCTCGAGGAGGCATCCGGCACCAAGGACGAGATCCTGTGGACCCTGGAGCCTGAGGTCTACGTGTCCAAGGGGCGCGCGTACATCCCTCGTATCAAGCACGACATTGAGCGTAACAACCGCCTCAACTCAAAGCGCCGCACAATCACGGCTTCGGTTGACTCGCGCAAGACTCCCGTGGCCCTCAAAGCATCGGAAGATAGCTTGTACCTGGAAGCAGTGGAGGCTCGCTCCCCTGTTGGTACTGTCGCTGAAGTGACAGACCTGGTGATTGACGTTAAGTTCTCCCTCGTCAATGCCATCCGCGTGGGAGATCTTGGATACTGGTACCTCCTGCAGGGTACTGCTACTAACACGGGTAAGGCCGTCATTGCAATCTCACAGATCAATGCTTCCATTGTCCAAGTCCCCCCCCAACAAGTCTTTGCACTGTCCACAAATGCCAGCACCACCGATACTACTTCGGTGCTGCTCACAATTGCGTCGAGTTTCGTCGCCCAGACGGTCCTGTCCAGTGCTGTCTCTGGTGCGTCCATCCTGGTCATGGAACCGCCTAGCTTCTGCATCGACGGCATCATCGAGATCTCAAAGATGAAAAACGTCAAAGTCCACTTCGCAACCGTAAAGTCTTTGTCATCTTCTTCTGTATCGTGGATCAGGCTGCATCCGTACGAGAGTGATGCAGACATCAAGAAGCTTCTGCCGGCAAACTTGTCGGGGTTCTACGACTTCTCTGATGAGAACAACACCACCACCAATTTGGGTCGCCGTGTTGCCAGCCTACTGCCGCCATTCTGTGTCAAGTTCGGTCTTGCACACATCTTACAGAGCCATGGTGCACCACTCGTGCAACGGTCGGTGCAGATCCCTCTTACCGAGGACTCAGTATCAAAGGCTCTGGCTATCGGTACTTCTAATAACCAGGGCGACGCACACGTCGTGAAGTCAGTCAGTGGCATTACGCACCTGGAGGATATGATGGCGGTGGTCGATTGGAGGGTTGAGGATTGCGTGACGGCCCGGATCCGGGCCATCGACTCTGGAAAGCTCTTCGCCCAGGACAAGACCTACCTGCTCCTCGGACTCGCTGGGTCTCTCGGTCGGTCTCTGGCCCGCTGGCTCGTTGCACACGGTGCCCGTCACGTTGTAATTTCCAGCCGCAACCCCGAGATGCCCGATCCGAAGTGGTTGGAGGAGATTGAAAACCTGGGCGGACAGATCACGACCCTGTCCATTGATGTTTCCAAGGAGGCGTCCATCAACGCCGGACTTGCCCAGATCCGAGAGACTTTGCCCGTCATAGGCGGTATAGCCTATGGTCCGTTGGTTCTGCACGATGCCCTGCTAGCAAGCATGGACCTCTCGATGATGAACGTTCCTGTCAACTCCAAGGTCGTGGGAGCTTCGATACTGCACGAGCGCTTCTCGAGCCCGTCGACCGATCCCCTCGACTTCTTCATCATGTTCTCCTCCGTGGCAACCGTTGGTGGAAACCCAGGCCAGGCCAACTACACCGCCGCCAACTCTTACCTCCAGGCCCTAGCCCAAAAGCGCCACGCAATGGGTCTGCCAGCTTCGACCATCGCCATCGGAGCCGTGATTGGTGTTGGCTTCTTATCACGCACCGGAAGAGAAGAGGAGTTTAAGTTGGCTTCCGACACAGACACAATCTCGGAGGACGAGTTCCTTACTCTCTTCGGCGAGGCAATCGTCTCTGGACGACGAACTTCGGACTCAGGCAAGGTGGCCATCACCGAGATCTCGGACCTGGAAATCATCACGGGCATTCCCGAGTTCAGTGCCCGCCACAAGGACACCGTCAAGTTCTACGACGATCCCCGCTTCGGCAACCTCAAGGTGCCCGAGAGTCGCCTGAACACAGACGGGGGCTCTGGTGCCAAAAGCTCGGTCAAGGAGCAGCTCCTAAAGGCGAGAACCGCAGATGAGGTCCGGGACATCATCATCGGTAAGCAATACTCGGTCAATTCGAGAGCATCGGAACTATCACTGATAATATGAACAGATGGCCTCTCACAGAAGATGCGTGCCATTCTGCACATTCCTGCCGACGAGAAGCTCGAAGCTACGGCTCCCCTTATCGACCAGGGCGTTGACTCTCTCGGTGCTATTACAGTCGGATCATGGTGCGTACCTCCATACCCCCACACGCAGATATTCGAGATTATTCATTAACATTCACAGGTTCTCCAGAACACTTATGATCGACATCCCATTGCTGAGGGTTGTGAGCGGTGCTTCCATCGCTGAACTTGCCGAGGAGGCTGCAGGACGACTCCCATTAGCCGCCATCCCCCTCGTCGATTCCACAGACATGATCGGCGTCAGTCACGAAGACAGCTCCAACGGCAGCGACATGCCTCTCGACTCTTCCAACGCCACGTCGATCTCTGGCCTGAGAGCCGATGACTGCGACGTATATGGCAAGACGGACGGTCCTCGCCAATTATCGTTGTCCCTCACCCAGGAGCACTCTTGGAAGCTTTTGAAACAGCTCTCCAACGACCCGACCATCTTCCACAACACCATCGGCGTGTTCATGAAGGGCCCGATCGACCACGGAAGACTGGAAAATGCGCTGAATGCATCTCTCCGTCGACACGAAATCTTCCACACAGCTTTCACTTCCGACGGCGAGCAGACCATCCTAACTGCCCCGTCGCCTCGTGTGCGCTTCGTCTCAGTAAGCGATCGCACTGCGGCCGAAGACGCGTACAGAGAGTTGGAAAACGAGGAGTACAACCTTGCTGCTGGTGAAGGCCTCAAGATTGCCGACTTCTACTGGGGCAAAGACGAGCACTTGTTCGTCATCGGCTATCACCGCCTTGTCGGTGACGGCTCGACCACGCAGAACTTCCTGGACGAGATCGGCCAGCTATATGACGGCGCGAAGCTGTCCTTGCCGCCGCAGTATTCCAAATTTGCGATCCGCCAGAGATCCGAGGTTGAGAGCGGTCAGATGAATGCTGACATCGCCTACTGGACTTCTATGTACGACAGCATCCCCGCCGTCCTACCGATCCTCTCTCTTCCACACGCGCAGAAGCAACGTACCCAGGACGACCGCATTACCTGGAAACAACACGTCGGCATGCTACGCCTCAATGCGGTGCTCGCCTTTCGTATCCGGGAGCGCTGCAAAAAGTTCAAGGGTGTGACGCCCATGCATTTCTACCTCGCGGCGTACCACATCCTCCTGGAGCGCCTCGCCAACGCCAAGGACGTGGCCATTGGTATCGCCGACGCCAACCGTACGAGTATTCAGGACGTCTCGACCATGGGCTTCTTCGCTAACCTGCTGCCGGTCCGCATGGCGTCCCTAGAGCCGTCTCAGACGTTCGCCGACGAGCTTGAGTCCGTCAAGGAGTGTATGCGCAAGGCTATGCGGCATTCGCGCGTGCCGTACGGTATCACGCTCGATCGTCTGGGTCTCGAATCGTCTTCGGTGGAGCTGCAGCACGCGCCGCTTTTCCAGGCCGTTTTTGACTATAGACAGGGCGCTGCGGAGACGGGACGTCTTGGTGGGGCGTTCTTCACTGAAATCTGGGCCTCCCGCGAGCGGACGCCGCATGATATCGTTCTGGAGATGTCGGACGACCCGGCCAAGGAGCCACTCGTGACGGTCAAGCTGCAAAGCTATCTTTATGGCGAGGAGGACCCCAAGGCATGCCTGGACGCCTACGAGGCGATCCTGGCCATATTCTCCGAGAACACGAAGCTGCCTGTGTCTAAGCAATGAGTAGACAGAGTTTTGTAAGCTCTTTCAGATGTACGAGAGGAAAGACGACATAAAGAAGGAAGAAGGTTGTTGTATTGAGCAAACCGTAGAGAGCGATTGTAACGTAATTTATCATCATCGTGCACATACCGTGCACGGACTCGTGATTCACATCCCATCGACTTTGAAATATACTTTGTTACCTCCCTCTAACGTACCCCACGGACGAGTCGGTCACCGGACGAGTTGGTCACTTTTGCCAAGCCCCCACCCAACTATCCTTCCTGCACTAATGTCTCCTTAACACCACCATTTAGACGCGTCAAAGGAAGCTTAGATACAGCTTGCGCTCCAGGCTCTTAAACAAGACGCGACCCTCTCCCAGCGACGCGCTGCAGCTATCTACAGGGTCCCTTAAAATACAATAAGCAACCAACACACTAGGCGACCTTCACAAGCAGATTCTATGGCCAACTTGCAGAAGCTGGATAATAACAAGGAGAAGGTGATTGTTAAACATGTTCTTAAGCTAGATGCGCGAGGAAATTCCCCTTAGCTCTTAGATGTGGCTACTATGGCCAATTCTTTGCGCGCTGAGCGTAATCTGGGCCCTATTAGCGCAAACTAGCCTAGTATGTTTGTTAAGCAACACCCAGAGCTTAAAGTCAAGTTTAATCGCAAGTATGACTACAAGAGAGCTGTCGGATGCTCGTACTGTGAGCCAGAGTATATGCTTGACGAGATCTTGGGTAACCTGTTTTATCAGTGAGCGCCCCACCTCAGTGAGCGCCCCACGAACACCAGCGAGGCGTACGCGCAGCGACGTAGCTTAGCACCACAACACAAATTTTGTACTCTTGCAATAGTATAGTATTATTTAGAAGCGTCACTGTTATTTATATCCTTAATTTCTACCTTACAGGTGCAAGAGTTGTGCCTAATCTCACTGCAACAGCCACAGCGTTGCCCTGCGCGCACCCTCTTCGCCAGCTCCTTACCCTCCTCACATCTGCCACCCTCCCTTTCAGCAATTAAGTCTAATACCTCGCTAACTGTTAATATCTCCTCTGCCTGTACATAGCGTCTCTTGCAACTTTTATACTTTATTGCTGCTTTAGTAGTAGTATTAAGGCGCACTATCTCTGCGCGCATTAACACTATCTTATAAGCTATCTACTGCGCGCCTTTTGTTAGCTACTGCACCTGCTTATTAAGTGAACTTGCTAGAGACCCTTAATAGATTTTTATCCTGTTTTAAACTAGTGTTAATTGCGCCTCTATTTCTTTAGCGTTGCGTGGTGTTTTTGCCTCCCAAGCAGCGTTGACTTGCTGTGGTGGAGTTTGCGTACGCAGCTGCACATCCAGCTTTGATAACACAGCCTGTAGATTATGTAGAGACAATCTAGCGCCTTAAAACCCTGCGCAAGCATTCTCTCTTGTAAACGCCTTCTTAAAAGCTACTTTAAAGGCTGGTAAGAAGGTCTGTTTGCTGATGTGGTTAATGTAATCACGTGCTAAGGCTGAGATCTGATTGGTTGGTTGGATTGGTTGGAATTGATTTTCGTCCGAAGGATGGGGATTAAGTCCACCATCCTGCCTCCCAAAGGGCATGTAGGACGTGCTGAGCTATGGATTTACAGTGCTGTTGCGCTACCCTAGAAAGTATTTCTTGCATGTGCGAGTATTTCTACTATTTCTAGCTATAGCTCTCCTTCCTGTTAGAGAGACTAAGTAGTATAGACGTAATAGGGGAGAACCCTTGTGTGTGTTTAGAGGTATTTAGGTGCTATATAGGAGATAGAGAGTAGATTAAAAAGAGAGAGTTAGTATAGATAGAGGTTGTCTATTACTGCTCTGTTAGACCTGCAGCTGCAGATAGAACAGAGTCAGCATAATACAACAGTCTGTTGTTGCTGCTAGCTAGGATAGCTACCGCTGGCAGACCTTAGTATAGTACTGTGTAATCTAGAGAAAAGCTCTAAAGGCCTCTAGATTTATTAACAGCTCTGCAAGGTATGCCAGGCCTTTACTGCAGCTTGATGGTGGTGTAGGTGGTCGTAGTGGCTATTAGATAAAAGACCCTAGAGTCTTACAGCAGAGTACAAGGTGCTCTAGTGTCTTGTCACACCTACACGAGCAGGTGAGCTTTGCGTTAGTGTGGTTAAGCTATTAATAGTACTAGGCAAAGTCTCTGTGCCTAGATTGGATAGAGAGGAGCTTGGCTAGGATAGCTCTTAGCAGGTCTAGTTCAGCTAAACTCCTGCGTAGTGCGTAGTCTAGCTTCTAGCCTTTGTACCACTTAGAGAGTGTTCTCCTCTTGTCTAACCACCATTTTTATTGTGTGCTAATTAGGAGTTGTTGTGCGGTAGTTTTTATGCCTGAGAGTGTAGGCATTGCAGCTTTTCCAGTAGGGAGCGAGGGCTGGCTGGCTTCTAAGTTGGCTAGCTTGTCTGCCGCTTCGTTTCCTTCGATGTCAGAGTGCCCTGGAGCCCACCTAATAGAGACGTCGTGGGTCTCCATCACGCCCTGGCACTCGAGGAAGGCCCATTGTGAGGTAGAAGATGGGCTCCCCCTCAGGCACCATATGACGGAGGTGCTGTCTATACACAGCCAGATTCGGCAGGTGCGGAGGGCTGGTTGCCTTATTGTGTGCTGGAGGCCTCTCCATGCTCCTACTGCTTCCGCGTTAAAGACGTGTGACGTAGGGTTAAGTGACCTGCGTCCTCTGTGTAGTTATTTTCTGTTCTAGTACACTGCGAACCTATAGGTTACACGTTTCTCTCCTTCCTTTGTGTACTGCTTAGAGCTATCTAAGAAGATAGTAACGTCTAACAGTAGGAGCTAGGCCCACTATTCTTTAAAGGCTTTAGCTGCCTTCTTCTTGTCTGCGCCTAGCGTTGGGTCTGTTCAGCAGCTAGGAGAGTAGTAAGGGAGGTTTAGTGTCGTCCTAGGTATCTTAGGCAGAAGGGCTCCTAGCTGTTAGACCTTGGTCTGGGTTCGCTGGAGCTGCCTATATCCCTTGCCTCTAGTCACCTTGGGGATTACTGTGCGCCTGGTAAGGGGGTGGTCTGCATCTATAGTGCGGAGATATGCTGCAAACCTTAGTTTAGCTTCTTCTAGCGCTACTGTGGCAGAGGGTAGTCTAGCGTCTTAGAAGAGCGTGGTAGTAGGAGTTGTTCTCCACACTAGAAGGATGCCCCTTGCTGCTATTGCTATTGTTTTGTCTATGGCCGTTATGTGCCATCCCACGTGGGTGCTAGCTTCTAGCGGCCTGCCAGGCTTAAGCGTGCGCGGTGGCTTAGTGCGGCCTCTGTACCAGCACTCCGTTCCGTACAGAAGAGAGGGGTATATGCAGGCGATAGTTGCCTTGCGCAGTGAGCTGGCTGGTGGCCCGTAGGTCGTCCTTGCCAGGCTGCGGATGTAGAAAGCTACCTGGGCAGCTTTTACAGCGCGTGTGGCCACGTGGTACTTAAAGGTCAGTCTGCAGTTAAACTAGACCCTAAGCCACTAGAGGGCAGGCTTAGTGTTTTCTCTGCCTAGGGAGATTGCGTTGATAGTAAGCTACTCGTCTACTATACAGGGCGGCGCGTAGATGCCTCGCTGTCTAGTAAGGTGGATCATTTCTTGCTTCTCTGGAGCAAACGTGACCTTGTTGGCCTTGCCCCACGCCCTGATCTGTCTTAGGTCAGCTGCTAGGAGCTTAACGTTCCTGTCTAGAGAGTGTGAGGCCCAGTATAGGCACACATCGTCTGCATATCCGAATCTTCTCTCTGTATCTATTAACAGCAGTTCAGCTAGGTACAGTGTGTACAGTACTAGGGAGAGGGGTAATCCTTAGGGTGTACCGCAGGCAACTGGGTAGCTAGGGGTAATGGCTTGTCTAAGGCGGACCTGTACCCTTTGTTCTGTAAGGAAAGAGTCTACAAATAAGAGCGCTCTTTAGGGCTATCCTTGTTAGACTATCTAGTGTAGTAGACAGTTCTTAAGGAGGGCGTTAAAAGCGCCCTGTACGTCCAGGGTAACTATTATAACATGCTGTCCTTGTGCCCACGCAGCTTCTGTGTTGTGGGTGAATGCTGCAGTTAGATCAGCTGCAGAGCGTTTTAGAAGGGCGCCTCTGTGTTGGGGACTAAGGATCTTGTGGGTTATAGCAGTCTACGCGATTCTCCTAGCCACTGTTCTTTCAAGCCCTTTCCCAATGCAGGAGAGGAGTGCTATAGGTCTCCAGGATCTGGGTGATCTCTGGTCTCTCTTCCCTGCCTTTGGTATCATGGCTACTTCTGCCAGCTTCCATTGTGCAGGAAAGTAGTTGAGTTTAAGGCACTGCTGGAAGATCCGTCGTATAAGTTCTCTAACTTGCACCTAGCAGGCACAGAGCAGTCTTACTGTAGAGCGATCAGTGCCTGGGGAGGTGCTAGATACCGCTATCGTGTTTCGATTGGCTTCCTCTAGAGAGATGTGTGTGCTCTATGGGAGAGGCGTTGCACTTTCTTAGTCTGGGTAGTAGTTGAGGTCGTCTTCTGCTGTGTATTAGTTGAGGACTTCTTCTTAGAGGGCCTCTGCTTTTTCTAGAGGATCTAATACAGTTGTGCTGTTAACTACTAGAGGCACATCCTAATTCTCTAGTATAAGCTTGTGCTAGGCAATAACCCTAAAGAGTTCTTTGCTATCCTTAGTGTTGTCTATAACATGTCTCTAATATTGCTTTTTAGCCTGTTAGACTGTAGTCTTAAAGATCTAGGTCTCTTCTAGTAGAGAGCTACTAGAGCATTGCTTTTTTGCACATTTGTGCCTTTGGTAGGCGATTTTGCACTCTGTAGTCCACCATGGCGCTACGCGCTCTTCTTTGTAGTCAGGCTTGCCTGCTGTCTGTATAGAGTGCTGGATTGTCTCTGTTAGTAGTGTGACACATTAGTCTAGTTGTGCTCTGTCTTGTGCTGTAAGCAGGTCTGGAATGCTCTAGACGCCTATTTCTACTAGTCTAGTAAACTTAGGTATGCTTGTCTCTAGGACTCTGTAGT